CCCCAAAACCCCAAAACCCCAAAACCCCAAAACCCCTTTTAGAGGTAAAATTATTGAATCTGGCATAAAAATATTAAAATATGGAATCTACACAGGAGGAGAAGAACAAGCAGGTGGAAATGGAGGTTGATGTAAGGTTTTGGGGATAAGCATTTGGGGTTTGGCTGGGAAATTAGGGGTAGGGGGGTTGGGTAGAGGGATGTGAGAGAGGGGGTTAGGCAGGGGATTAGGGGGTAGAGTGGGGGATTTTATGGCGTTTTGGGGGGGGGTTGGGGAGAATGGGGGTTAAGAGGTGATTGATGTGAGAGAGGGCTTGGTAAATCATGTGGGTTGAAATGTGTGGCTCGTGTTTGTGTAAATAATGTGGGAATTTTAATTTTTTCGGAAAAATAATACTTTTGTCTAAATTGTATCCCAACTCATCTCCTTTTTAGTCAGATCCGAAGATAGCTGAGATGACTGAAGAAGAAAGAGAAGAATACAAAGGTAACTACCATCTCTCACCACATAGACAAACTAGAAGAAGAAAAAGAAGCTGAGATCACTATAAGTACTTTTCTTTGCCTAACCTTCAGATTACACAAAACTCGGCAGTGAAGAATGTCCTGTAAACGAAGATGACGAGGATATTTATTACCAAGAAGTATACCGTATTCCAGCGATCGAAAACCTAGAAAGATGCTCTAAGTTAAAGATACTTTCCTTGCGTAAGAACATGATCAAGAAGATTGAGGGACTAGAGGAGTGTACAGCTCTAACTGAGCTAGATCTTTATGATAACAGAATCAAGAAGATTGAAGGGCTAGACACTCTTGTTAACCTTGAAACCCTCGATCTTTCATTCAACAGGATCAAGTTAGTTGAAAATCTTGACTCCCTCGTTAACCTCAAGACCCTGTACTTGATTGGAAACAGAATCAGGAAAATTGAGAATCTTTCTGCCCTAAAAGTAGTTAATGAGGTTGACTTTGGAGACAACAAAATTAAATCCATTGAAGGAATTGAAGAGGTTCCTCAAATCACCAAGTTCTACATTGCCAAGAATAGGATCAAGGAATTCCATCCTTGTATTAAAAATCTGACTAAGCTAAAAGTCCTTGGAATTCAGACCAACGAAATTTCAAAAATTAGCAATCTTGAAGAGTGCGTTGAGTTAGAAGAACTCTATATGCAGCAGAACTTTGTATCTGAGATTGAAGGACTCGAGACTCTCACAAACCTCATGATATTCGATGTAGCTTACAACAAGATTGAAGCAATCTCTGGGTTAGATTCTAACAAGGAACTTACAGATTTATGGATCAACAGTAACAAAATCTCAGATTGGAGTTCAGTAGAGTACCTCAAAAATCTGCCAAACCTGGACACAATCTACTTAATCCACAACAAAGTTGCAGAGGACAAGAAGTACATTGAATACGTTATGGAGAACATTCCATCAGTGACTCAGATAGACTCTGACAACGTCCAGCTTATCAAAAGAAGAGCTGCTTCTGGAGGAACTCAAGTAAAACCCTTCATTGTAAAGGGAAATGAAGAAGCATCAAACATGCTCAAAACAGTTCTGAAGAAATGGTAATTTTTCAATATTGATTTCCCTGATTGGGGTTTTGGGGTTTTGGGGTTTTGGGGTTTTGGGG